GAATTCAGAGAATGAGATACCATGTATGTGCCATGACCTACACATACATATCCCTCCCCACTCCATTTTTCCAATTTTTGACTTCTCTCCTGTGCTTGAGACCCCTCCCCGCCACTTCTAATTGCTTACTGGGCATCCTCATTGGGACATCTTATAGAAATCTCAAACCTATGAAACCTAAAGTCAAACTTTTTGTTGTCTTGTATCTTCCGTTTTCCTCCTCCGTATTCCCATCATTCTCTTTGTGTGGTCCACCTCAGAATTCATCTTAGATTTGTCCATTTCCTTTAAGCACCAGAAAATGTAATAAGATAATACATAATTATTTATCAAATGAGTGATATAGTAAGTGATTTTTCCCAAAAGCCTTCAGGCTCTGTGCACTGCCTGCAGATTAATAAAATCCACTCTTCTCAACCTGTCATCCAGGGCCCTCCAGGATCTCCCCCAGGTACCTTTGCAGTTCCCTCTCCCACTCATCACCCATATGCACTGGTACTTTAAACACACCATTCTAATTTCTGGTTCTTTTCCTCCAACCTCAGAACTAATTGCTGTTTGTATTCTCTTCTTATTAATTTTCCAAGTCTTTATCTTTTCAACTTTGACCCTGACTTCAGAGCCCAGGCAAGACACTTCCTTTCCTCGAAGCCTTCTGAACTATTCCAGCTCTTGCAGATTTCTTTCCTGCTTAGGTGCTATGATCATAGCAGTTGGCAGCTTCACTGTCATTTAACAGTGAGGTTGTGGCATTCATACACAGAGCAAAGCTTGACTATGGAACCATTATGTTTCAGAGGAGGACTGTACCTCTGAAAACTGTCGCCCTCTGAAAAGGCATTTCAGTTTCACAAATTGCAAAACTGTTTTATATGCACTGTTAGATAAAATTATATGCTGTAATTACTTACCAAAAGTAAGCATTGTTTCACTTATATCTGCAAATTTTCAAATAGGAATTGGCTGACCACCATCAGGCTTCTAGAGAAGGGATGCCCCTCGTCTAGTCCAGTGCTCTTGGACTTCACATAGGAAATTGTACAGGTTGCTGTTTAGTCACCTGGATAAGATTGCTTTCTAGGTAGTCGTAGCTGCGTGTGCCTAATTAAAGAAGAAAATACAGAAATATCTTTTCTTTAGTGTTGCATAAACTGACATTATACTTTAATACATGCATATTTTTCAAATGTTTTGTTAGTTTTTTCCCTCCACTTTCTGCAGGGTAATATGGAAGGTTTAAATGTTTTCCTCTTGAGTTAGTCTGTTCTGTTATTGATGTTAATAAAGGGGGAAATTCACCTAGATGATACAGTAGAATCCTGTTTTATTGAACTTCATG